GGGGCGGGGGGGGCAGGACTCCTCTGTGATCCAGGCAGGGTGCTGCTGGGAGGGAAGGGAGGGAAGGGAGGGAGAAGGGAGAGGGGGGGAGGTGAGTAAGAGGGTGCACTTCACTCTCCCGTCCTTGCTCCACTGCTCCCACCTTCTGCCTGCAGGAGGGGAAGAGAGAGCGGAGGGGATCAGCTTACCATACCTCACCTGTTACCTGCAGCTATATCTACTCTAGTCTGCCCTCTAGACCATCAGCCCCCATTGCTGCTGCTGCTGATGCTGCTGCTGCCGCTTCTGCTGCTGCTACTGCTGCTGCCGGTCTGCTACTCTGCTTCCCCTGCTGCTGCCGGTCTGCTACAGCCTTCGATGAACTGGGAGGGAAGGGAGAGGGAGTGAGGTAGGGGAGCAAGGGAGACCAGTGAGAATGGGACGAAGAGCAGGCAGCAGCGTGAAGACAAGGAGAGGGCAAGAAACGAGAGCGAGCACGGGAAAAAGACCGGCAGCAGCATGAGTGTATGAGGGAAAAGAGGCTCACCTTGTTCCAGACGACCCCATCCCGATACTCTCCCATTCCATCCCAGCCGAGTGGAGTGCTGCCCCCCTCCCTGCACGGCCACAGGGGAGGGGCGTGAGGGAGCGTCGGTGTTGACCCCACACCCCTCCCCGCCACCTGCAATGCGCACACACAGAGCTAGTCAGAGCGCGGTGGTGGGAGCAAATTGAAGGGGAAACTGTGACTTGAAATCCAGCGCAAGGGAAGGGAGGAGGAGCCACTGGTGGAGGCACGGCCACAAGCTGCAGACCCAAGGGCACCTGAAAAAAAACCTGAGGGGTGTACCTGCACCTGAAGGGGTTACCTTACCTGCACTGCACCTAAGGGGGCTACCTGAAGTGAGGGGGTCTGAGGCATGTAAATCGTGCTCAACTAGTGACAGTGTTTCAAAAGGAAGGCGAATGCACAACCGGCAAAGGAACTGGCAGCAAGAAAGCAACAGTGTGAAAACGACAAGAGTGATTCAGTATGAGCAGTGAGCAGCAGGCAAGAGTGAGTCCAGGGAGGTGAGAGCACTTAGCTGGCAGCTGAAGAGCCGCCGAGAGATACTGCCTCGTGTCCCCTTCCCTCCCCTCCCCCCTCCCCTACTGCTTCCGCGCCCCCTGCTGCTGACGCTGCCACAGCAGGTCCCTTCAGCTGTCTCTGCTGCATTGCGAGTGACCTGGAAAGGGGCAGAATGGAAGGGAAGGTCAAGTGGGGAGTGAGTGCAGGCCTTGGAACATGCAAAGGCGAATCAAAGGATGAGCGCAAGAGGGCAAGTTAGCAGAAAACGAGTGCAGCGGGAAAGAGAGGTACGAGGCTTACCTTGAGAGGCCAAGCCCATCCCGATACTCTCCCTTGCTGCAGTGGGATTGCCATGCTGCAGTGCTGCCTCCCTCCCGTCCCCACGAGTCCCTGCACGGCCACAGGGGAGGGGCGTGGGGAAGCGTCGGTGTTGACCCCAGCGCCCCTCCCCTCCACCTGCAACGCACACACACGGCGGTGGTCAGTATGCATGGCATGGGCACAACACAAGGCAGAGAACGGAAACTGCCAAATGTGGAAGAGAAAGGGAGGGCCACTGGTTGAGGCCAGGCCACACGCCACAGACGCCAAGGGAACCTGCACCTGAAGGGGGGACCTGCACCTGAGAGGGTTACCTGCACCTGAGGAGATACCTGAAGAGAGGGGGTCTGAGGCATGTAAACCGAGCTCAACCAGTGGCATTGTTTCAAAGGGAAGGGCGAAAGCACAACCGGCAAAGGAACTGGCAGCAAGAAAGCAACAAGCCATGATGTGGCGGGCAAGGGTGAGGGCATGGAAGTGGGTGACTTAGCTGATAGCGTGAGGGCGAGCTCAAGGCAGCTGCAGCACCACCAGCTGCCTCCCTCCGCAGCAGCCCTCCTCCAGGTGCCTCCTCCCTGCACGGCCACAGGGGAGGGGCGTGAGGGAGCGTCGGTGTTGACCCCACACCCCTCCCCGCCACCTGCAACGCGCACACACAGAGCTAGTCAGAGCGCGGTGGTGGGAGCAAGTTGAATGGGAGACTGTGACTTGAAATCCAGCGCAAGGGAAGGGAGGAGGAGCCACTGGTGGAGGCACGGCCACAAGCTGCAGACCCAAGGGCACCTGAAAAAAAACCTGAGGGGTGTACCTGCACCTGAAGGAATTACCTGAAGCAAGGGGGTCTGTAGCATGTGAGCAGTACTCAACCAGTGGCGTTGTTTCAAGAAGACGTTGCAACAGCAGATGAAACGAAAGAAACGGTATGGCAGGCAAGGGTGCGGGCATGAGGGAACGGGTACTTAGCTGATTGTGTGGTGCAGGCGGAGGGGGTGCTTCAATGGAGAGTGGGCAGGGCGAGCATGGCTTGAAGGGACGGACCTGCGAGCGAGGCAGAGGAGAAGAGAGAGGGAGATAGGGAGATAGTAAGGGGCAGGTGGGAGTGAGTGACTCTTTTAAACGAGAAGACAGGCAGCAGTGTGAGTGCAGAAAGACGGTGCATGTGACGCCAACCACAACCCCACAAGAGCCGCTACCAACCTGAACCTGCACCTGAACCTGCACCTGAACCTGCACCTGAATGTGCACCTGAACCTGCACCTGAACCTGAACCTGAGGGGGAGTGGGCTCGAGTGGAGTGTGGTGGCAGGGGCGATACTGCAACCTCAACCGTTGATGAGGCCGGCGCTGCTGCCCCGCTGCCCGCGCTCCTGCTGCCCGCCCTGGTGCTCCCCTCGCCTGCTGCTCGCCTGCTGCACTCCCCCTGGCTTGTGAAGGCCTGGCAGGGAAGGGAGGGCAGGGAGGGCAGGGAGAGGAGGGAGGGCAGGACGGGAAGGAAAGGCAGCCGAAAGTAAGAGGGGTTGCAATGGAGAAAAGTGTCAAACACACGTGCAACAGCAGAAACGACAGTGCATGTGACGCCAACCACAACCCCACAAGAGCCGCTACCAACCTGAACCTGAACCTGCACCTGAACCTGAACCTGAGGGGGAGTGGGCTCGAGTGGGGTGTGGTGGCAGGGGCGATACTGCAACCTCAACCGTTGATGAGGCCGGCGCTGCTGCCCCGCTGCCCGCGCTCCTGCTGCCCGCCCTGGTGCTCCCCTCGCCTGCTGCTCGCCTGCTGCCGTCCCCCTGGCTTGTGAAGGCCTGGCAGGGAAGGGAGGGGAGGGAGGGCAGGGCGGAAAGGAAAGGCAGCCGAAAGTAAGAGGGGTTGCAATGGAGAAAAGTGTCAAACACACGTGCAACAGCAGAAACGACAGTGCATGTGACGCCAACCACAACCCCACAAGAGCCGCTACCAACCTGAACCTGCACCTGAACCTGAACCTGAACCTGAACCTGAACCTGAGGGGGAGTGGGCTCGAGTGGGGTGTGGTGGCAGGGGCGATACTGCAACCTCAACCGTTGATGAGGCCGGCGCTGCTGCCCCGCTGCCCGCGCTCCTGCTGCCCGCCCTGGTGCTCCCCTCGCCTGCTGCTCGCCTGCTGCCGTCCCCCTGGCTTGTGAAGGCCTGGCAGGGAAGGGAGGGGAGGGAGGGCAGGGCGGAAAGGAAAGGCAGCCGAAAGTAAGAGGGGTTGCAATGGAGAAAAGTGTCAAACACACGTGCAACAGCAGAAACGACAGTGCATGTGACGCCAACCACAACCCCACAAGAGCCGCTACCAACCTGAACCTGCACCTGAACCTGAACCTGAACCTGAACCTGAACCTGAACCTGAACCTGAGGGGGAGTGGGCTCGAGTGGGGTGTGGTGGCAGGGGCGATACTGCAACCTCAACCGTTGATGAGGCCGGCGCTGCTGCCCCGCTGCCCGCGCTCCTGCTGCCCGCCCTGGTGCTCCCCTCGCCTGCTGCTCGCCTGCTGCCGTCCCCCTGGCTTGTGAAGGCCTGGCAGGGAAGGGAGGGCGGAAAGGAAAGGCAGCCGAAAGTAAGAGGGGTTGCAATGGAGAAAAGTGTCAAACACACGTGCAACAGCAGAAACGACAGTGCATGTGACGCCAACCACAACCCCACAAGAGCCGCTACCAACCTGAACCTGCACCTGAACCTGAACCTGAAGGGGAGTGGGCTCGAGTGGAGTGTGGTGGCAGGGGCGATACTGCAACCTCAACCGTTGATGAGGCCGGCGCTGCTGCCCCGCTGCCCGCGCTCCTGCTGCCCGCCCTGGTGCTCCCCTCGCCTGCTGCTCGCCTGCTGCCGTCCCCCTGGCTTGTGAGCCTAGCAGGGAAGGGAGGAGAGGGCAGGGAGGGCAGGGCGGAAAGGAAAGGCAGCCGAAAGTAAGAGGGGTTGCAATGGAGAAAAGTGTCAAACACACGTGCAACAGCAGAAACGACAGTGCATGTGACGCCAACCACAACCCCACAAGAGCCGCTACCAACCTGAACCTGCACCTGAACCTGAACCTGAGGGGGAGTGGGCTCAAGTGGAGTGTGGTGGCAGGGGCGATACTGCAACCTCAACCGTTGATGAGGCCGGCGCTGCTGCCCACGCTCCTGCTGCCCTCGCCTGCTGCTCGCCTGCTGCCGTCCCCCTGGCTTGTGAAGGCCTGGCAGGGAAGGGAGGGGAGGGCCGGGAGGGCAGGGAGGGGAGGGTGGGGGGCATGAGGAATGAGGTGAAGGCAGAGGTGGGAGCTAGAGTGAGATAAGGAATGGAGAGTGCAGCGTGTGAGACGGCAGAAACAACAGGCAAGACAAGGGACGGGCCACTGGTGGAGGCACATCCACAAGCCACAGACCCCCAGGGGAACCTGAGGGGGCTGTAAGGCTTTAGGTGGGCTGAACCTGTACCTGATGGGCTTACCTGCAATGGGGGGTGGGGGTCTGTTGCTTGTGAGGCGGGCCCCAACCAGTGGCGAGTATTTCAGGGAGAAACGGTGAGCAGCAATGGGGAGCAGCAAGCGAGGGAGAGTGGAGGGAGGAGAATGCACTTAGCTGGCGGTTGAAGAAGCTGATGCTGCTGCTGCTAACCCCCACGTCAACGGGACGCACAGCCGTGCGACCATTTCGCTATGAAACGAATCGCGGACGACGATTTCGCCGTGCGACGACGCGCAGACAGCGATTTCGCCAAGCGACGACGCGCAGACGACGATTTCGAAGTGCGACGACGCGCGGACGGAGATTTCGTCGTGCGACGACGAGCGGACGACGATTTCGAAGTGCGCCGACGCGCGGACGACGATTTCGCTGTGCGACGACGCGCGGTCGACGATTTCGCCGTGCGACGACGCGCAGACGACGATTTCGCCGAGCGACGACGGGCAGACGACGACGATTTCGCCGTGCGACGACGCTCGGACGACGATTTCGCCGTGCGATGACGCGTGGACGACGATTTCGCCGTGCGACGACTTGCGGACGACGATTTCGCCAAGCGACGACGGGCAGACGACGACAATTTCGCCGTGCGACGACGCGCGGACGGTGCGATGACGCGTGAACGACGATTCCGCCGTGCGACGACGCGCGGACGACGGTTTCGCCGTGCGACGACGCGCGGATCTCGCTTACGGCCGTCGATTCCGCCGTCCATTCTGCCAAACGCTCTCCTGCAGGAGGGAGAAACTCGAAATAGCATCTACGAGCGTGAGAAGCGCTAGCTGAAACCGGTGCATCAAAAGCGCGGGTACGAAAGGCGGGATAAGCGCGCGGGAAGGAGCAGGCAGCGACGTTCAAGAGCGCAACGGCGCGGACCCCATCGTACCTCGTCGTCGCTCTCGCCTTCGACTCTACTCGCACCAACATTCCACGCCTAAAAACCTTTCTCGCAACGCCCGATCAACGACTTTCCACGGAGGATGTGACGAAATCGATGGTCTAAAACAGCACGAGGCGACATAGAATCCGTCTGCTGACGCTCCGCCAACACCACATCTCCTAGCTCCGCGTTTTCTCGTCCCAAGAAACAAATCGGTCGCCAGCGAAAGAATAACAGCAGCGTAAGCGTTTCGCGGGAACAAGCGCTGAGCATCTGGCGGTGAGCAACTAGAGGCGAGGAGCAGAATGATAGGCGAATGTTGAGTGAAGTGGGAGAAGAAACGGGAGAGAAGCAGCACGTTGAGGAAGAAACGGGACAAGGCGAGTTTGTGGTTCGGCGGGGAGGGAATGTGCCATGCCAAGTGCTGCCTGCCTCCCCAACCAGCCTCGAGATTCCCGAATTGCTTTCGGACACACGGCAACGGCGGGACAAGGGCAGTGGAAATTTGATATTCGAAATATGTTGGCGAAAGTTCAACTCGCTCGCGGGTGATAACTCGTGGCAAATGATTGTCACAAACGAGCTGACGATGATGGCTACTTTCGTGACACTGCCCCGCAAGCAGAATTCGCCAAGCGGAAAGAGAGTCATCGTCATCGATCGCAAAGTTTGCGGAAGCGCAACCCCCGAATGTCTGACACAAAGGCGGATTTGCGCCGACTTTCCGGAGGGTGGGGCGCGAGTTCGTCAAAGTTCAGACACTTGCTCCAACGGCTAGGCTTCGGGTAGCGCAATCTGGGGTTTGCGGGGAAGGCTCCGCCAAATGGGCCCAGCATTCCCAGACGCACATTAAAAAAAAAATTATACCATTTCTTACATCATACCATATTCAAACCAATCGGATCCATGTAATGTGGCATATATAGACATTCCAGTCGTACATGGTACCTGCACTACAGGCGCGCATACCGATCAAACGGACCAGCGCATTACTTATATTTGTAGAGATGCAGTTAGTACCATATTATGGCCAGTCCACTAGATTATGCCTTCTAATTCAACAACAATAAATCACGTTTTTTCAAGGGGTGCGCTTATAATTGAGGATCGGCCATAAGCGCATTGCTCCAGATAGAAGCGCATGCGCTTTTAATAGGCCTGCGCTTATATCCGGGGTGATACGGTAATTTGGGGGATTTCAAAGTTTTAGTTCCGCCTTGTACCTACACGCAAGCGTGCATACTCACCTTACCGACCGACGCATTGTTCTCTCTATTCAAATACAGTGAATACCATATGTATTCCCATGTCTTTTAAATTATACCATTCCCCACCCCCCTACCATATTTTAACATGTCGGATCAATATAATTTGGCAGATATAGACATTCCAGTCCTACATGTTACTTGCACTACAGGCGCGCATACTGACCAAACTGACCAACGTATTAAGAATGTTTGTAGAGATGCAGTTGGTGCCATATTCTTGCCAGTCCACTATATAAGGCCTTCTACTTCAACAATACTAGGTTACAACAATTCTGATCCACATAATTTTGGAGATTTCAGAGTTCCAGTTCCGCCTTGTACCTACACACAAGCGTGCATACTGACCTTAGTGGCCGACACACTATTATCTCTGTACAAATATAGTAAATACCATATGTATTCCCATTACCCTTAAATGATACCATTCCCCACCCTGCTACCATGTTTTAACCTATCGGATCAATATAGTTTGGCAGATATAGACATTCCAGTCGTACATGGTACCTGCATTAAAGGCGCACATACCGACCAAACTGACGAGCGCATTACGTATGTTTGTAGAGATGCAGTTAGTGCCATATTCTTTGCATGTCCACTAGATTAGGCCTTCTACTTCAACAACACTAGGTTATAACCTTTCCGATCCACATAATTTGGGAGATTTCAGAGTTCAAGTTTTGACTTGTACATACACACAAGCGTGAATACTGACCTTGGCCGACGCATTATTCTCTTTGTACAAATTGATGAATACCATATGTTAACCCATTTCCTTTAAATTATACCATTCCCCACCCCCCTACCATGTTTCTACCTATCGAATCTATGTAATTTGGCAGATATAGACATTCCAGTCGTACATGGTACCAGCACTATAGGCGCGCATATCGACCAAACTGACCAGCGCATTACGTATGTTTGTAGAGATGCAGTTAGTGCCATATTCTTGCTAGTCTACTAAATTAGGCCTTCTACTTCAACAGCACTAGGTTATAACATTTCCGTTCCATATAGTTCGGGCGATTTCAGAGTTTCAGCTCCGCCTTGTACCTACATACAGGCATGCATACTGACCTTACCGGCCGACGCATTATTCTTCTTGTCAGAATATTATGCTCTAGCCTGTAGTGGGGTGCTCTATAGCGAGTACAACCCTTCTAGGGTTTGCTATTTGTATCCCCATTCTTACTAGTGCAACCCCTCCTTTGTTCATTTCTTGCTTGCCTAGCTAGGTCAACCCTAGCTATGGCTTCTCACTGTCCTTACTATCTTGACATGGTAACAGAGCGGTTACGCTCCTGTCCTGTGGGCCCACCACTTCACTGCTTCCGCTGCTACTGCTACTCCCTGTCCGCCGCGCGCCTCGTGGTACGCGGCGTTGAAATTAGGGTTTTTGAGCCCGCCGTGCGCCCCGAGGCGCGCGGCGGTTCTCTGCCCGCCGTGCGCCCCGAGGCGCGCGGCGGGTTTCTGCCCCGTCACACCGCGCGTTGCTCCCGGGAGGCGCTGCGACGGGCGACGGGGACCCGCGCGTCGCCCCCCGTCGCCCGTCGTGGCCTGCGCGCGGCCCGTACAGCCGGCGCGCGGCCCGTACGGGCTGCGCCAGGCCCGCGCGCGGCTCGGGCCGCCTGCGCGCGGTTCGGGAGGCTGTGCCAGACCCGTGGGCGGCCCGTTCTTCGCTGCCCCTGTCCTCCCCACTGTCCCCCGTGCTTCTGAAGGCGCCCCACCCCTCCTTCTGCCCGTACTCCTTGATTAGGGTTTGGGGGTGGGGGGTATGGGGGTGCAGCTTCTGTGTGCCGTTCCCTGCTCCTCCTCCTCCTCCGTCTCCCTGTGCTGCAGCTGCAACTGAGGGGGGTGGACCTGTTGGAGCCGTCGGAGTGGTACTAAGAAGGGGGTGAAGGGGGAGTGGAGCTAGCGGTGTAGCAGCGGGTGTGTGTCAGGGGGAGTGGGATAGTTTGGGGAGGTTGAAGGGGGTGGCCGCCGTGAAGCCAGCAGCTCCAGTCGCCCGTGAGACCGTTGCGCCAGTCGCCCGTGAGCCCGTTGCGCCAGTCGCCCGTGAGCCCGTTGCTCCAGTCGCCCGTGAGTCCGTTGCTCGTCTGCCGCTACTTTCAGCCGCGGAGCCAGTTACTCCAGTAGCCCGTGTGCCAGTTGCTCCAGTTGCCAGTGTGCCAGTTGCTCCAGTTGCCCGTGTGCCAGTTGCTCCAGTTGCGCCGTGTGCCAGCAGCTTCAGCTGCCGCCCACTACCTCCTCTCCTCTCATAGTCTCTTTCCTCCTCCTCACTTGCCCGTTGTGACTACCACTGGCTTTGCTCATAATTGTGAACTTTAAACTATTGCTTCTTGAACTTGTGCTCAGAATGTGTGGTGACATTGTGATCCACCCTAAGCTTGTACTGTTTTGCTTGCTCTGCTGATTACACCCCACTTTGGCTATGGGGGTGTGTCAGAATATTATGCTCTAGCCTGTAGTGGGGTGCTCTATAGCGAGTACAACCCTTCTAGGGTTTGCTATTTGTATCCCCATTCTTACTAGTGCAACCCCTCCTTTGTTCATTTCTTGCTTGCCTAGCTAGGTCAACCCTAGCTATGGCTTCTCACTGTCCTTACTATCTTGACACTTCTCTGTACAAATATAGTGAATACCATATGTATTTCCATTTCCTTTAAATAATACTATTCTACACCCTCCTATCCTGTTTTAAGCAATCAGATCTATGTAATTTGGCTTATATAGACATTCCAGTTATACATGGTACCTGCGGAGATAACTACTACAACGGGAGCTAGGTCGCGGGCTAGGCACGGGTGCTCGTGTGATCTCTGCGTTCCTCGGTCCTTAGTCGTTTTCCTAGTGCACACACTGCTTGCTAGTTCACAAGGCAAATTGGCAAGAGTTTCACTAGAGAAAGTTGACAACAATGATACAATGAAGTTGGCTAGGCAAGACTACATCAGAGCTAGGATGCAAGCAGGTCGACTGCCAGCGCAGCACGGTCGACCGCGTGCCAGCACGACTTGGTCGACCGTGCTCCAGCAGTGCAGGGACGCGGCTTGCCAACACTGCAGGTCGACGGCGAGACAACAGCGCAAGTCGACGGCGTGCCAGCGTTGCTCTTGCAGTCCAGCATCGCACCAGCTTCGCAGGTGCTCGTAGGTGATTGGCGCGCACTGCTTCGTCACCTGCACAGCGCACACACCAAGTCCACCTTGTGCTGACGACTGCATCTCATCTGCCAGGTCGACCTCGGGATACCACCACCAAGGTCGTCCTCGCCAACTTCGCCTGGGCGACCTTCGCGTGCCTTCGCAGACCCTCGTCACCCAGGTAACCTGGTCGACCGGGCAACCAGGTCGACCAGCTACTCCCGTGCATGCCCGTCGACCTCCCAAGTCGACGACCACTTCCAGTCGACCTCACCAGGTCGACCACTACTCCCTGGTCGACCAGCTCTAGGTCGACGTCACTCCTGGTCGACCAGCTCCTCGTCGACCAGCACTCCTGTTGGCCGACCACCCAAGTCGGCTACCCCAGGTCGGCGTCCCCAAGTCGACGCCCTCTGCAGGTCGACTTCCCAAGTCGACCACCCGAAGTTGGCGCCCTCCCAAAGTCGGCGCC